TGCCCTCGTGCCTATTCCGCGTAGTAAAATTGTCTATCCTTCGCATTCCAGGAAAATCGAGCGTCGCTTCTATCCATTATGCATTCCGACTCAGTTCATCTTCTCCATAACTATCCTGGGTAAGGCCTCACTCTTAATCAGTACCCCTCGACGTCATCGTAGTTCCCACGCTTCTATCCCTTCATTCTTGTAAGCGATCTTCTCCGTGGGGGCTCACTGGTGGTTAGCCATGCCCATCCTGATCTTTTCTCCTCTCCACAGCTTCATCTTTTGATCTTTTCATGTGAATGTCTTATTGGTGGCGAGCCAGGCCTTCCCAGAAGCTTCCGCCGCAGGGTCTTATTGGTGGCTAGCCAAGCCCTGCACCAGAGTCTCACGACAGCCGTTCACCCACTCATCTCATCCTGCGCCATCCATCCGCTCTATCCCCCCGCGTGCGCCACCAGCCATGGCCCGGGCACATGACTTTGCATGTCCCATTCTATCCCTCACGCCGAGCCATTGGTGACTAGGCAGCTTTGTGCCTTCGTCCTATCCCCGCTTGTCGCCATTTCATCAGGCCTCATCTCTTTGGCGATCACGTCGCGGTCTCCACATCAGCGGCCTTCCATGCTTTCCCTTTCCTTTCACAGGATCACCCGCAGATGCATCACTTGCATCGTCACCCGTCTCAACGCCCATGTTTGCCCGGTTGGTTGATGTCGTCTCAGTGCCTCTGAATTCCGGGTTGAGCGCTTCGCTCATCGCTGACTCGTCTTCTGTTTCGGGACCAGTGACGTGGCCACCTCTTTGTGCCCGAGTTCTCTCTAGCAGAGAGCCCTTTCCTCTTCCTCTATCCACCATCTTCGTCCCTTCCGCAAACCTGGGTACAGTTGGCATCCATCCGTATCTGCCTCCTCGATCATCGGCTCTATCCCTATCCCGCCCTTTTCCCCATCCGCGTGATGAGCTTCTCACCGAACTATCATCACTCATGGCGTACTTCGGCCACCTGATGATATCCCTTCTCTCCCTATCCAGAGGTGATCGGGTCCTCGCTTTGGGCTCAGCACCATCGGCTCTCGCCCCACCTCTCTCTTTCAGTTGGATTGGACTCGAACTTTCTGCCCTGGTCAGTGGCTCTTGTCTCTTCCCCGTCTCGTCCCTAAGCTCCACATCGACGGTTCTCGTACCTTTCGATTCTATCCTTCTTGGCCACCCCTTCTCGTTCAGCTCCACTAGGCTTACCCCGGCAATTGGATATGCCGTGCCCGCATTAGCCGCACGCGCCTCCGGCTGCGCCTCGTCACGAGAATGTCCGGCTACTCCCATCGAAGCCCAGTTCATCATCATTCCTCCCATCGGTACTGAGCACCAGTATACCTCATTCACCGGCCCTGTCTCCGATCTCTCCCTTCGTAGCCCTAGGTTCCGAATAGCAGATCCAGCAGCATGGCTATATCCATGAAGCTTGTTCTTCTTCCCCTTAATCTCTCCCCATGTCGCGTTGAATGGTATCCCTTCGGTGTCAAACTTCATGTGCTTCGCCATGGGTTGAGTGGGATCTCGCTTTGTTTCTGCAACTATCCTCTCCATGATCTCCAGACAACCATTTGCAGTCTGCACCATCATGTCCCTCGTGCTTTTCGCCCAAGCGTTGTTCCCCCATAACGGCGAGTTAAAACCTGCGGCCATAGCTATCAGCAGCTGATAACTCATAAACTGTCCTCCTCTCCTCAGACACCCTGCATGCATGGAGAAGAACCTCTGCCTCGCTGTCACTACAGCGCGTGCCGCAACCGTCTCAAGGGCTTGCTGGAAATCTGACGCATCCACTATTCCCGAGTGATCTGTGCCACTCTGCTTGTACTCGAAGTTCAGAATCTTCCCGAACGATGTTGCCAGCTCTCTATCCAACATCATCGCATGAATCGCCGCCTCTTCCATAGCGAACCTGTATACCCCCGGTCGTGACGCTGCGATCTCGTACTCAGGCCACAATCCAGCCCTAAAACCTAAGTACCAGTCTTCTGCGGGGTTCAAGCTCGCCAGTATCCCTGCCACCACGTCCCGTTCTATCATGTCTATCCTTTCGGCCACCATTCTGAACGGGATTTTAATCCCTGCGCGGTCGAGGGCTTCCTGTAGCTTGGTCTTCCACATCGTCTTTCTTCCCATAGTCGCGTTTCTATCCGTGATTTCCCACAAATTCATCCCCATCAGGTAGTCCGGGTAGGATGGCATAGGCTTGCAACACATCGGGCAGATCACTATCCCTTTCGCCATTCTACAGTGGCATGCCAGGCAATGCACGCACTCCTCCGTCATTTCCGACATTATCCATCTCACTCTATCCCGGTATTCATCTGTCCCCAATGTCTTTGATAGTCTATCCCTGTTCACTTGTGAGTCTCCTCTTTCATCGGCTAACATGTCCAGCTCGCAATCACGCATGTACAGAGCCGTGTATGTGTCCTCGAACCAAACTGCTTTCCAACATGCCATTGGTACGGGCCCGAGGAGCATGAAGCGCCCACTTCTTGTTACCACCACGTCGCCTCCGATTAGTGTGAACATCCTCATGTCTATCGCTATTCCGATTCTCCTACCTCGCACAGCCGCCAATCTAAGCGAGTCGTATAGCCATTCTGGCATCCCTCCTTGTGGAAATTCTAGCCCATGTATGCTGCTCACGTCCGATGGCTCAACAGAGTACTTCGTCCAGTGTGCCTTGAGCGTCATCTGCGACCCTCGCAAAGGATTCCTCATGTCGTCCCGATGCCATCCTTCCACTATCACTCCGCTATGCCCTGCCTCTGGCCAAACTATCCCGTCCTTCGCGTATTCTTGCCACTGCGCGTCACCCACCACCATGTATCCGGTGCATGGAAGATCAGCCGGGTGCAGCCTGAACCACAGAGATTCCCGCTCTTCTTTCTGTCCATCCACTCTGTCTCCAGCCCAACTCTTCAGCATCGCCACGTTCCTCGGCATCCTCATTCCACTCGTGGGTCTCACTGCCAATGGGATGCCCACCTTCAGCTCCTTGGTCTTCGGACATCTATACATTTTGCTGGTGATTTCTATCCCGTAAAACTGTGACAAGTAAGCGATTCTGTACTCGTCGCCTCTCCTGAGCCTATACAAAGATCTCTCGTCGACTTCTTTTCTGATCCTAGACCAGGCTATCCCTCCTCCGTGGTGTTGTTCCGCCCATAGCGCATACTCTATCCCGTTTCCTCTATCGATCGCTGATCCATCTAGCATCGCCTCCTGCGTGCTTCTTCTCATATTCCTCCTGTCGCCCCTTTGTACTGGGTACGCATCTCCTCCCCACGCTGCCAATTCCGCCACTATTCTTGCCATCTCAATGTACACATTCGCAGGGTACGGCTTTTCTATCTCGGTCACTTCTCCTTTGATTCCTAGCTCATTCAGCGTGGCACCTGTCCATGTCGTTACCGAGTCATTAGATACTCCCGTCGCCGTAACTAGCTCCTCTGGCTTTCCCTTTTCTATCCCCATTACCATCCTCGTCTCATCTGCGAGCTGCGAGACTATCCTCTCAAGTACCATCTTGCACTTCTCTAGATTCTCCACCCTTGTTGTCTGCTCCACTATCGGCAATAGCACCACCTCCTCGTCACTATTCCTCATCATCTCGTTTCCGTCTGCATCGCGATTGCCCGTAGGAATCAACGTCAGCTCCCACCTTCCATGAGCCGGATCCCCCTTCACGGTGTTAGACGTCTGCAACATGACCTTCTTGTTGATTTCCCCCATTACTGCCGCATTCCTTCGTTGTATCTCTCGGAAACTCCTACTCATTCGGCTCATTCCGGGTTTGTCCTCGATGTCCCTCTTGTCTGCTTTGGCTCTCCTTATCAGGTCCTCTTGGAATCTCCACTCTGCCTCCTCGTCACCCTTGATCTTCTCGACTTGTTCTCGTTTGATTCCGGCCGAGTCCATAATTCCTTTTAAACTCTTCGACGCTGCCATTCCGTATCCCTTTTTCTCCCCCCTCGCTTCTCCGGAATTCCTCCATCACGTCTCTTCCTCTCTTCAAGTATTGGCTTTCGTAGGCCCCCATAATCTCGTCTGCCATGCCTATCACCTTGATCTTGGGCTGCGCCTCCGTCCATATCTTCAGCTTCTCCTCGCTCGACTTATGGCTGACCGCTATCCGCTCCGCAACCTGAGACGGTGGAATTGCATACTTCAATGGTCGCACGGCCAACCATGTCATCATGCCTTTGATCGCATCATCGAACGGGCTCTTCTCTGTGTCGTCCATGTGGATCTCCGCCCAATCTAGGTTCTTTCTGCTGATCCCTCCCCAGCTAGCCCTGAACGGGTCCTTGTTTCCGTTCGTGACGTCATACACCCCTCCCACAGAGATGGCTATCGGTGCCACACCAGCTATCATCCTCTCATATGATCTCCCCTTCTGGAAGGACTTCTCTGTTTCATCAGTCGCGCCGATGAATTTAGGGGCCCATGGCGTATCAACGTCTCCTCCCGTGCCCGCTGTGGGCATGGCACATCCCGGCACGTCCATCCCTCTGGCCAATCGCACCCCTATCAAGTCGTTCAGCTTCTCCTTCGACAGGTTCCCGGCATCAGGACTCGCCTGGGGTGGCGGCTTCGTCGCCCCTCCATGCGACCTTGGCCTATCCCAGTTCGCTATCACCCTCTCCAGGTAGTCCGTGGCATCCGTCACAGTCGCAGCTATCAGAGGGATCTTCTCCCTTATCCATGCTTCAGGATTCCGCCTTGTACACCGTAGTACCTCCCAGAGATACATAATCTTGTGCACTCGCATTCTATCCACATCGTATCCCACGGCTGATCGCTTACCTCCTTTCTTCGCCGTCTTGGCCTGGGCCTCTTCCGCTCGCACACCAGCTATCCCACTGCTCATCCATTTCTTGAAGTCTGCATCGTCCTTGAATTGGCTGGGGATAGCCCGTCTAGCCCATACCTCCTGCACCTCTAGATTTCCCTCCAACATCCAGTGTATTCTAGCCTGTTCTCGCTCCTTGGTTCCAGCTGGCAGATATGAGTACGTCGTCACCCCTGGCACTCCATCCTCCGTCTCGGCCTTGAGATATCTATCCGCGTCGGAAAACACTTTCTCCAGGAAGTCTATCATGGCCTGTGCTCGATCACATCGTTCCCTCTCTCCTGCATCCCTGGCCTGATGCTCCGGGCGTTGCCATCGTATCCCTATTGTCCTCGAAGACGAAGCTGTCCCAGGATCTTCACTGCTTCCGATATCTCTATCCCGCTCACTCAGCGACACCGATCCGAACATCTCTCCCATGGCTCCACGCTATGCAGGTCGCTAGAGCCCTCTTCTTCCTTACACCTGCATGCAACTCAAGGTCACACAAAAGTCGCTCTAGTCAAGACGTCGTTGAAGAGCATTACAAAGTGCTTCAATATTCACCATATCGCTACTTTCTATCCGAGCCTTTGATTCTTCATTAATGTATATGGTGCATTGTACGTCCTCTCCTTTGTCATGAAGCTCTCCTATCTGCGTCTTTCCCCGCATTCGAGCCAGTTTTCCACGTGCAGCAAGAATTCTCGCTATTCCCTCGGATATGGCGGCATCACTGCGATTGATCAGAACAATCCCGATGCCCGCAGCGATCACTCTATCGACTAGTAAAGCTAGGCTATCAGCCGCACTTTGGTCCTTTCTTCCCAGCTTAAGCTCTGCTCCGCGGGCTAGTCGAGAAGGCGAGTCAACTCGCTTCGGTGCTATCACAACTATCCCGTCGCACTCACCGACGATCGCCTCATCGACCTCCAGAATTGGCGAGTGTTTGATATCCCACACCATTTCCCAAATTATCCATCTTCCCACTATGGACTTTGCTATCCCGACGTTATCCCTGATGTCATACTCGAGCTGATTTTGGGATACCCCCCGGCACGCGGGCATAGCTAAGATGGTTCCCGTTGCGTTCCCGAACTCCTCTTCACCGAAATGTGCGGTAGTGTACATATCCCTTAACCACTCTCGTGCTTCATTGATGGCCTTGGTCATCATGTTGGCAGCCTGATACTCAGTAGGACAATTGACAAACGTGAACATGACTGCCTCGTAGAACTGGTTCAGCCTAGCTATGTCTATTCGTTGTGTTCTAGACAGGTACCTCATGTTCGGATTCTTGCCCGAGACAATCACTCTAACAGCCGCCTCATTGTCTTCTGCCACTATCAAGGGTTCTATACTCTCCTTCATCATCTCCCATAGTGCCAACCCCGGTATTCCCTGTTTCGTGATGCCATCGTGCAGGGCTACTATCTCAGCTTCAGGGGTACTTTTGGAGCACGACGTTTGCTTCTTACAGTAAGCAGCTATAGGAACGAAAGTGTGCGGTCCTTGAAGACAAAGATATACCCCCGACGTAGATCTATGGTCGTTCTTGTCGCTGGCAAGATCGGCGTCGCAGTATAGTACAAGACGGATGTCTCCTATCCTATCCCCGACCCATCCGTAGAGGCTCGTTGTGGTCGTCTCGTTGATGTATGAGATCAGTCTATGCATTCTCTTGTCACAGAGATGTGTCCAGGTCGTCAGCCTCGACGCCAGAACCTGTACTGGTCGCAGTAGGTCATACCTTCCGACTCTGGCCCCATACAAGATCTTCATGAGTACCGCAGGGGCGTGCTCTTTCAACACTCCCGGCCCCTCATCCGGCAGCTCGTACTTGGCTATCCCCATAATTTCGTTCACCTTGTCGTCTACTGGGTTCTCGTCGAACTCTGGGCGGCTCTCGTCGAGATATGGGGTCTTAGCTTTATCCAGTGGCTTAGGATATGCCGTCGAGCACAACTCTTGATATCTATCCACACACTGCTTCATGAAATCGGTAACATCATATCGAAGGATCCTGATCTCATCTGGACTATCTTCCTTCGCCTCGGCCTTCCCCACGAAATTAGGCGGTTCCTTCTTGGGCTCGATGATCTTCGTCCACTCGTGTCTCGGCTCAAACGGCGACCGAAAAGGTATCGCGCTAGCCGTGTGCAAGCATCCCAAGTATCTGCCCATACTTCGTGGCTCTTCGAGCTTGATTCTCTTCGCCAGCTTCTCCCATCCTATCGCTAAGTTCTCTTTGGGCCCCGCAAGCTTGAAGTCGTCGACGTAGATCACCAGCATCAGCTTCAGCTCCTTATGGAAGAACACACTAGGCCAATCTGAGAGGAATTCGAAGCCGACCTCAGTCACGGCCTTTTCGCAGTGCTTTTCCCAGAACCCCCCGGCATCCGGATGCCCGTATAAAGCTAGTCTCAGTGGCACCACGGGGTCGTCTATGCCCTCCCATTCATCTGGCCACCTATCCCTCGGGATCCGTATCCATGTTTTAGGCCCCCCCAACAGCGCCTGCGTGTATGCCGACTCACCGTCCGACATCTCGATGTCATGTCCTGGCAGCATCCCATAGGCATCCGCCATCTTGCCTGCCTCAAGTGTCGCGGGACATGATGTGATTTCCTGAAAGATGGCCCACTTTCCCTCCTGGTCTTTGACATGACATCCCTCAAACACAACTCTCCCCTTATACTTTCTAAGAGGATCGTCTTCAGCAAGCTCCCAGTTCTTTTCCACACAGATGTCAAAGATACGACCTACATGAGCTATTTCCCCTCTATCCATTGCCTCCCGTTGAACGTCCTTCCACGAACGCACCTCCTCCATTATCCAGACCACTTGATCCATCAGCTTTTTCCATTCTTTATCAAGCGCTGCCCGAGCCTTGGGGTTGATCGCCCTCTCAGCCTTCGTCACGGGTCTAGCGACAAGTCCGAAAACTTCCTCGATGTCCTCCTCTTCGTCCTCTATGATTGTGGCCATCAGTGGCTCACACTCTCCCACTGTCTCGTCGATGCTATCACACACTTCATTTTCCGCAACCTCTTCCCAACTATCCTCTTGATCTGCATCCACCTGTATAGCAGGGACTGCGACTATTCCATCTCCATACTCCTCGTCTTCAGTCTGATAACCCTGCCGGATCAAATTATCAACGGGTGTAGTATGCTTGTTCATGAAGCATGCGAAGCAAAGCGTCATCGACGTGAGGATCAAGCTAGGTACCTTGGCTTTTCCCTCCAACAGTCGTCGACATTCTCGGCACTTGTATGTCCTATTCGAGACATGCTTGATGCCGATTCGCCGCCTATCCTCATCTCTACTCCTCCTTGCTCTCAGCCCATGATCCACACTATCCCTGTCTCTTTCCCTCGCACGGGCCTCTCTTGCCCAGATTGCTTTCTTGCTCTCCCGATGTGCCCTACGATGTCTCACTTCCTTCACGTTCTCAGGCATCATGCACCCGCGCATCCTCGGCCGTAGACATACTCCCTTAGCGAATTCCATTCTCATGATTGGCCCCCCTCCTCCTCCAAACGTGATGGGAAAGCTATTTCTATTCTGTATAGCCACCAGGATCTCTCGCTCAGGTGATACCTCGTATCCTATGACGTCGCACATGGTTTCTGCCACAAGCTGCCCGAGCGCAGACACTCTTACACTGGTGCCAGGATCTTCCGGATACGCTATCCCAGTACGAACCCAGGTGTATCCTATCAGTGGAACATGGATGTCGTCCTTTAGTTCGAGGACTAGTGCGTTCCTCTCTGCCTCCCACATGACTATGTTGCATTCGCCCTTCTCCATAGTTTCGAGGTTAATGGTTTCGGCGTGTCCGGCCCTGAAGAACGCCTCATCCACCGGTTCCCGTTCCTCTTCTAGGTCTGACAACGTCCATCCTTCCGAGTCAAACACATCGCTCTGGTCGTCGAATCCGGGGTTTTCCTCTCTATCTTGGTCATGGCGCCGATCTGCGTCGTGGTTCTCCCTCTCCCCGGTCAGCACTATCATCCATCCGTCCCCGTTCAGGTCTCCCACCTCAAGCTCTTCTCCAGGGTAAGCTACTGCGGCCCCTCCGGTGCTATGTCTGATGCGGCGACTGTTCTGCTTCGTCATCATAACCTTGCCTATGTCGTCGCCGTCAACCAGGATCACGCGCAGATCTTGTGTGTGTTTCGCTCGTGGTCCGAAGATCTCCCTCAATGCCTCTCGGCCAGGATTGTTCATAACTATGCATCTTTTCCATCTGATCTCCTCACGACTGATGTATGGTGCCCCATCCTCGGCCGCCGCAGCAGCATAGTTCCTTATCAGCGTCTGATCTTCTCTATCCGTAGCATATTCTTCGTGCTCGTCGTCCCCCTCCATGTCTATCACCCAATATGAGTTTCCTCCGTTCATTCTTCTCTTGGCTATCTTCAACAGCCTTTCTAGTGATCCCCCAGTCTCGTCGCCTCTAATCGTTCCCTTTTCCAGCTGTGCCAAGGAGTCCACGTCCAGTGTCACCATACCACTGCTATATCCGAGATAGCCTCCCCCGTGTTCTTCACATGCCATCGACACCGAATCACCCTCTTCCTCGCCGCAGATGTCTATCACGTCCTTTAACACCTTGATCATTTCGCGTATCGCTTTACCCTCCTGCTCTCGCCGTACGTCTATTTTCGCGTCCGATGTCCTCACTATGCGCGACATCAAGTCATGATCCCTTGGCATGTGATCGCATGCTAACATGTCCGCCGCGATCGCATTCATCATGCATGGTGTGACGACTCCTATGTAACACGAGGCGTCTACCCCGTCATGCATACCCAGCATGCATCCATCACTCCGCACTATCCACATGTCCCAGGCAAGCGCCATTCGAACAATGGTCTCGTCAGCCATTCGACTTTTACCGCCTATCCAGATGATCGTGGCCACTATTCCTCTGCTGTTGGCGTCTGTGATAACCTTTTCTACATTGCCAAATACTCTTTCTCGAGCCTCTCGCGTACTATCTAGGCCTTCCTCACGTCTCCACCCGGATGCCTTCCGATCAACCTCTGTCCTCATGCCGTCGCTAGACGCATCGATAGCAATGACCACATCCGTCACACCCTCTCCTATCACGCATCCTTCCCCCGATATCCAAGATACGTTCTCACCTCCGTTACCCCCGATCTCTTCTAATCCGACCTCCATGATCTGCACTTTAGGCTGTTCGCCCAACTCCCTCATCATTTCCCCAATGATGTTGTCGGACGGTGTTCGCGCTATTCCAGCTGTGCTGCACAATTGGTTGATGGTTTTCGTAACCTCCTCAGTATCCCCCATCCTGGACGCCGGTGCAGCAGGTTCTGCTGATTCTCCTCTATCCCTGATTCGTCGGTCTTCTCCTCCGTCGGGGATGTACCAGAACTCCGTGATGATGTCCCTGGGCACAACGAATCGGTATCTCCCTCTATTGCGCATCATCTCTGCCTGTATACAAGAGTCGTACTCAATGGATTCTAAGACCTCTCCAGTATTAGCGCTCCGAGTGACCCTCCACCAGAGCTCAAGCCGTCTTTTGTCCCTTCCGCCATAGAATCGGTAGGATGTGGCGCGATTGTTTCTTACTGCCCATACTCGGCCACCCTCAGGCATTCCCGGTGGGGGATCCCATCGGTACTCCGGCGGTGAGAATTCCTGGCCATGGTCGGTGATTTTCTCCATCCATTCTCGAACTCCAATTTCTGCGGGACGCGGTCCTATTTCCTCTTGCCCTCGAACGGCCGAAGGGGGCCTCTCTCCTCTGATGATCCTCTCTTTGTCTCCCTCGATATAACGTAGTCGCTGTCCCGGGCTCATCCTATTCCACTCTGCTGACGAAATGGAGTTGGGTTTGTGAGATCTCGCGTACGGCCGCTCTATTCTGGGCATGTCTTGTTCGTAGTCTAAACCCACCCCCCGTATACCCGTCGCCTTCTCTCCCCGCGCCCGCTCCTTGGCTTCATCATCTATCTCTCCCTCAGGCTCCCCCTTTTCCCAGAACGTAGTGCACCCCGTCCATTTCTTGGTGATCTTCTTCTTGCCCTTCATTCTATCCTCATCCAGCACCTCCGATGTACCATCGGCGTACACTATCCACGTTCGCCTCCTTGGACCCAGCTCTCTATCCCCGGGGCCACCTGTACCTTTGACCTCCTCGCCTGGGGTACACAGCTCCTTTCGGGGTAAGATGTGATGAAGCGTCCACGAATGGTCTATCTCATCATGTTCCCAGAAATCCCCGTTTTGAAGACGCTGATCGTCGCACTTAATTTGTCTCATCACATCGGCTCGTACCCTTCTCTCCTCTGCGAAGATTTCCTCCGTCTCCTCTCCTTGCTGCCCCTCTCTCTCCAGTTCCAATCTGGCCAGGGCATCAGCTCGAGTCGCTGTCATGATTCTCGACTTCCTATCAGCCACAGCTTGCATCGGGAAGTAGTTGGGCATCTCCTCGTCAAGTACTATCCTCTTCACGCGGTGTATCGACGGTACCGTCCATCCGTGATACAGGTGCGCCAGCTCAACCACTATATAGTCTCCGCTCGGAACACCCCCTGGTTGGAGCGCGTAACCTAGGAACAATCCGGGTGACGCCGGAGTGTCGAACTTCGCCTTGGATGCCATGGCATACGCTTGCTCTTCCTCGGCGTCGTGATCTACATATTCTTCCCCTTCCCCACCATCGTCTGCACACGCTGCCTGGCATAAGCCATCCGCTAATGTCGCAAAGTGCTCATCCAATCTGAAGCCCAGCCTCATCAACTTCCACTTGTCGTCCACAGATGCCTTTTTACCCGCTGCCAGGGTATATCCCACCGCTATCACTCTATCCTCCGGCGCCAAGGCATCTTCGGTAGCATGCCAAACTCTTGGATTGAACTTTAGCCCACTATCCACCTTCCGAGTCCTTCCCCATATCCATTTTCCCGGAAGCACCTCTTTCTCTATCCCGGCGGCCTTGCCACCCCCACTCGCACACTGTTCCTCTTCTGTCCAGATCATAGCTTCGCCCGCCCTCTCGCTTACCGGTACAACAAAGTTGTATGTCTGGCTCTCGTTAAACTTGTCCTTGTGAGGCCCCATCCTGGTTCCGACAGACACAATCACCGTTGTAAAAGTAGCTTCTGGGAAGCATTTTGCTATCAGCTCGCAGCACACCATGGCTATCCCCGGATATTCTTTGGCACTTTTCGTAACGCCAATCTTTCCTCCGTACGCATACAGCCCCAGGACTATGAACCCTCTACCGGTGGCCATGCTCCGCGAATTCTTCGCTATTCCTTTTTCTATCGAAGTGAACTTCAGGATGATGTCCTTTGCATGCTGCACATCAAAGTCCTGCGTCATGACCATGTCGAGCGCACGTCTATCGATCTCTCTCAGCTCTTCCTCCCTTTGCGAGCGTTGTTCTTTAGTTTCCTTCGTTTCAGAGGGCAAGGCCATGCTCGAAACATCTTCATCAGCTCCGAGAATCTCAAGAGCGTCATTTTCAGGATCCCCCCGTTCGAGCAGGGCCGCGTCCTCTTTGCCAGCTTTTCTAGGCTTTTCGGCAATGGGGAGGTAGTTAACAAGTGCCCCGAAAGGAATCAGTTTCACTTTGTCTTGCTCGTTGCCATGTCTTTTCCCGTACGGGCTTACCCCGTCCACTTGTTGTACGTTCCTATGGAAGCAGAACGTCTGCACAGCGTACGGCCACCACTTCGGTTCTAGTCCTGCTTGTCTCAGCAATACTCTGCCACCGTAGATTACTTCTTTGACCTTGAGCTCCGCTATGCTATTCGTTCGGGGTAATCCGGGTGTAGAAGTCGCCCTGCAAGTTCCTATGACGTCGCAGGCTTTTGAGAATTCACCGGCTCCGTCTGCGTACAGATGCACTACCATATCTGGGCCTCGGAACTCATTGATAGCTCGCACAAACTCATCCGTTCCCCTGGACTTTACGGGCGTGCAGTGTACCCACTGTGTCTTGAAGTCGAACATCACGATTGCATTGTTTTCTCCGCGGATTCCCTTGTCTTTGTTGCTGCGAAGAACTATCGTGTCAGCAGTGACCCTCTCCCCGAACTTCTCGGCGCCCTTGTCTGTGATGCCTTCGCCCCTGTTGAAGGGGACGTTTATTGCTTTGCCTTGTCGACAAGCAACGCAGTGCATGTTCTTTGGGAGATGCGTGAGCAAATGTTCCGTCGATCTTGCATACTCCGGTGAGTATCTTGCTCTCCGGATGCTCACAGTTTTGCTCGACCCTATCCCTTCGCCAATTCTATCCGCAACTCGAACCTGATCCGCAGGTCCGTCTTCTGCCTTTGCTTGTTCCACTTCTCCCACGTCACCGGCGCTATCATCCTTCTGAGGCTCTCCCACTCCTCTTCTAGCCTGTTCTTCATCGGCTATTCCTGGCAAATCTATATCATCATCCAATTCGCCTCCGTTTTCGGCGCTTTCTTCCTCGCCGGGTACAGCGACGACTTGCTCCGCGATCCTTAGGTCGTCATCCGGACTCTTCTTCATTCCGTGGATGAGCTGAAACTCCGCATCCGTCATATTGCGTGCGCTTTGCCCCGCCTCAATCTGCTCAGGACTCAAAGCTCTTTCACAAAAACCGCATACCCCGGATGAATCGGCCTTACACGCGGCGCAGTAGAACGTCGTTCTCAGTCGACCGTCACCATCGTCTTGTTCTGCCGTTGTCTCCCTATTCCTCTCGTCTATCCCCTTTTCGACCACTGATGAAATTCGGTGGTGCTTACGCATAGTCTCCTTGATGGCTCGCACTAATCCCGGTGCCCACTCCGACCAGTTTTGTGACTCGCTCATCTCGCCCTTGCTTCTATCACTCGCATCGTTCGTCTCTCCGGTCCCTGTCCTCTAAGATTGGACCGCCATCCTACACTCTGCGTCCAAGTCGCTATTGGTGGTCGGCTTTCTCCTAGGGTTCCATCGGTCCCTGTTCGAAACCTAACATAACTTTTTAGTCCCTATGAAAGGCACTCGTCCTATCCCATTCTTCTGTCGCCCACAATGATGCGTATCCCCCTTCTGGCGTATCATCCCAATTCGTCTCGGGGTCCTGGGGCTGCTCAATGAGACACATCGTTGGGGCTCTCAATCGTCGGTGACGTGCCTTTCCTATCACCACAAGCATGCACACGCGCAGTATGATGATATCGTCGTCACGGCATTCCTGCTTCTGTGCCCAACTGATAAATGAGTATCCCCACCTCTCCGGTCCATTCCTCGACCTAAGTGGGATCGGACCCGGCCTTCTGTGTCTCATCACGGATCTTGTTCTGCAAGGCGGTCCAGCTAGCCAACAAAACACCAAATTAGTCGTAGCCAGCTTCACTAGCCACCACCATGTATCAGATTGCAGCACGTTCTCCTCCATGTCGATGTCTATCACACTCATCCCTAACTCAGTTGCTATGTCATCAAACTTCCCCCTTGATTTCCCGCAACAGATGTGCACTATGACGCGTTTGCTACCTTCAATTGCATGTTTGATTTTCAAGATTTCTGGCCTCGTGTCCCCTAGAGGTTTCTGAGCCATCCCACCGTCCAAGATTTCTTGAGGAGCACACGGCCACAGATACTTGGCTATCCGGACTAGCGTTTCGGCCTCGCCGCTGGTACCAATGGTCTTGTCCAGCATCATCAGCAGGTGATTTAACCCCGTGGTTTCATCCGTGGTTTCATCCGTGGCTATCCTGTCCAAAATGTGCTTTCTCACCTTCACGCTATCGCTCTGTGCCGCTTCCCCGGCATCCGCTCCTTCATAAGTTAGTCCTTCTATCTTGAACATGGTTTTGCCGGTCCACAATTCCTCCTCCGCTTCTCTATTCTCTCCCTCACTGTACTTATCCACCCAGTCTATCCATTCCGCCACGGTTTGGCCATCTTTGTACACACGTTTGGATCTACATCTCTCGGCGAATCGCGGCACAAGTGCATGTATCTCTGGGAATCTCAGTGTTTCAAACCATGGATCGCAAGCCTTCGTTCTTGGTTTGTTGTGGAAACACACCGCCTTATTACCCGTTAACATCCATTTGTCTAGTAGCCTCTCGTCGTCGTTGGCGGCCTTTCCTATCGGTTCCTCCTCGATGTCTCTATCCGTGTCCGAGTCCACGCTTTTGGGACTACATTCATCCTGTTTCTCTCCGATCCTCCTCGGACTGGAATTTCCTCGCATGGGCAATTCAATCGCAAGAGGCGCTGGCATAGCAGGATAGATGTGATAGTCACTCCGCTCACTTTCACTAACGACCGTTGACATTCTATCCACCATGTATGGGATATCCCCGATGACTTTTAGTACTATCAAGCTCGAATCCGGTTTGACGAACACGGGGTTAGCACCCGCCAGCCAATGAAATGAATATCCCATTTTCATACATCTCCTCCCCATCGACAGAACAGCGGGAGTACTCTCGAGCATTCTAATCCTCATTGTCTCAGGCATCCCTTGTATATCCATGCAGATCTCTTGCTTTGACGTGGTGTTGCCGTTGGCGGTGTTGAACCTCACTTTCTTCGCCTCAATGGCCATATCTTTTTCGTCCTGGGTGAGGTCTGCTTCTGCTATGAGATCCATAGCGCATCCCGAGTCTATCATCCATCGTCTCATTACCGGTGGCAAGCAATGCTGTGCTGATGCCGCCGGCTGACTATCCTCTCGACTTTCCACGCGGAACCTCTCGTCGACTATACCTATTCTCCTGCATTCCTCCACTATCCTGTCAGCCAATCTTGATGCATCCTTACCTTCCTCGCCTTGCTCCCCGGCTAGTATGTCCAGCACGACCTCTTCGGCCAGAGATATCCCGCGCAGCCTTGCCTTTGCCTCTTCAATCACGGGATATCGTTTCACATCATGTTCATACCCCTTCTTGTGTACGTTTTTGCATTTTCGTACCATCTTGTCGGCTGTGTGTCCTTTCCAATAGCATATATCCAGTCCTGCTATCCCCGTCTCTTCGGAGCCCAACCCCTTGACTCGCCTATTACCCTTCCTCACTCGCTCCCTGCCTGTCGTTGTCACCAGTATTCCCCTAAGCGTGCCTTCGGCGCTATCATCCCCTTGTCGTACCACAGGCATGGCCGCATATACCTGACTATCATCGCTGGCCTGTGGGTTTCGGCCCGCCCCTAGCGAAAACTCGGCCCTTCACCATCAGCATGTGGACTCGATGGCCTCGTCTCCTTCTGCTCTATCTCTACTGTCTCAAAAGCCTCCCTAATGCTATTCGGGATAGCCTCATGGAGCATTTTACACTTGTCATTTCTGCAGCTGCCGTACCGAAAATGCTCAAAGCAGTATCCCGCCTTCTTGAGGACCTCTTCCGCCTGACTATACAGATAAATATCGTGCGAATGCTTGCAGTCCGCCGCAGTCATCGGGCAAGTTCCACGCGTATAGGGGTAGCAGACCCCTCTTTTTCCAAATGGTGACTTGGATCCATATCTATTCTTCGGGTCATCGGCTCTCCCCGCCTGCGAAAGTCCGTCCCTGCCTCTTCCCACAGATATCCCTCTTCCGTAGCTATTTCCCCCTGCGGGCGATGAACTCCTCGGTCTATCATCAGCGTACGCGCTTCTTCTATTCACCGGTGCTCTATACGATCCCTGCTGAGCCGGCATCGCAGCGTACCCACTCGTGAATGCCTGTCGGCTCACCCGCATTGAGGCCTCGTCTATGTTCTTGTCCGCTCTCCACATCTCCAGTCTATCCTTGATTCTCTTTCGCAGCCAGGTATGCGTCTTGGCCTCGTCCGGAAGCAATCTCCATGCCTCAATATCGTGGTTGAGCACCTGAACTCTCTGCACTTTCGAATGCAACATCCATCCCAGCTGTTGCTCGCTCCAGGTATTGCCTTTCAGCCCTATAAGGTTCGTGTGCGCCAGATCCCATCTAGTCATGAACTCCTCCAGTGCCTCCTCTTCGGGCTTCCCCGGGAAGTTCATCACCTTCGTGCTACTCAGGCCATCGTACAGCACCTGGCTCTCTTTAGCAATCGGGATCTCAACATGCTTTACTATCAGCGTAAGCAATCTCATGGCCGTCATCGGCTTTCCATCTCCCACT